TTGTTATTTCCACATGATGAGTGGTTGTTAATCAAGAATAATAATACCAAAAATGGGAGCAATTACTTGATAATAAATCGAGCGCCTTTATTCATAGCTATTCTACTCTATTAACTTATTACAGTCTTTTGTATCCCAACTTTAATATCCGTGAAGCGGAACGGATTTATAAAACCTCATTTGTGTCCTTCAGATATATCCCATCATACCTCCCTATTTACTATAAATTACACAAGCCATATTAATAACTAATGATACTCATGTCATTTCGTTCCGCACTTGATCTCGAAGTTCTTAGAACAAAGAGATTTTACAAAAATATATACGCAATATAAGTTGAAAATATAAACGCCAAACTTCATTAACCGAAAATTTATTAACCAATAAAATTGCATGTTTTAAATAATGGTTTATGCTACCTCATTTGTATCCCACCCCCATCCCAAAGTGGGGGTATGATTGTAGTTGTTTATAGCAAATTTGCTTGCAATATGTATATCCAAGGTCTAATCTCTCAATTGAGGATATGTTATCACGATACGAGTTGTAAAAAAAGCGTAATATTTACTTTTAAATAGAATTGCCATTGTACTATACTACACAAACTTATTAATATTACTACTGTAACTCAATATTTCCATACTTGATATTTCACAAGTTGGCATGCTTATTACCAATATCACTGGCTAAGTCTCTGTAAACAAATGTTCGAGCATTAAAAAGCAGACACTATTAGTATTATCTGGGCCAATCGCTGGCATTGTAAGTATTTGCGTGTACTGACTTGTCTAATACTAAGTGAAAGAGTTTCAAGATACGAGATTGCCATGATAGAGATATGACAAGATTTATATTTAGTGAGTGAGGCAAATCTTTTGTCACTGGAGACAATGATAAGCGTAGTCATACCAATTACCATTGTTGGCAAATGCAGTAAATTCATTGGCTGGCGGTTGCATTGAAAAGTACCGTCTGTATTTCTGTCTCATTTGAAACAATGGCTTCTTTACCTTGCGAGATTCTTGAGATAATTTTTGCCTCGCACGCAAAAGATTCCTCTACTCTCCACTCTTGTACTTTAGTTAACAGAAATTGGTGCGTGGTAGCTCTTCGGTACTTGTGGGCCAAACCTTTCAGCTTGTTGCTTGCAAGACCAAGGAGAAAAACCAGCCGATCAGTAGACAACCTTCTGACCACATTTATCGAATGTTTTACTGATGTTAACGCTCTTGCGAGCGCATCCCAGTTGCGCAAGAAATATAGTAAAAGGTTTCCGTTTGATTATAGCCTTTACTTGAAGGAGATTCATCCTAAGGAGATTTACAGTTTGTCGATACAGACCAACAAGTATTATTATGTGCGAGACAGGATCATTCTTTTGGCAATTACATATTGCCCAAATCTCAGCACTCTTTCTCTTACATTAAACTCGTATTTTATGGATCAAAGTCAACCTCTAGTTTCTATAACAAGCCTCCCCCGTTTACAAAATTTAATCTTATATTTAAATACAGAGAATAATATGTTCAGCACACTTTCTACGGCCGTATATAATTTGAAATCAATTTCAGTCAAAGTTTGCAAGAGTGCGAAATATAAATATAATCTTGAACAAGAATCGCATCGTGGATTGCAAAAACTCATACAGTCTCAACAACAACTAAAGATGATTACTATAGAGAATGTGGCAGCCAAGATGAGAACTGTATTTAGATTGTTGGAGTCACAGTCGAATTCTCTGGAATCAATTATTTTGAAACACTTTCGGTTCTATTCGGATGATTTTAACATTGGACAAATCAAGTTTCATCAATTGAAAAGAATTTACATAAAGAGCTGTACAATATCAGAGGGAGGGCTGAAATCAATCTCCGAGGCTGACTTGCCAAAGCTACAACAACTCGAGTTCGAAAATACTACCTGGGAACACAACAATGACTGTATTTCATTGCAAAATAAGTACCAAAACCACATAATTTATTCATGGAAGTAGTATTGATCATACATGTATATATATTCATTGATTAACATGACTGAGAAATTATGTGATTATTTTTAGTCCTTCTTATTGATGCAATTTATTAAATGTTTTTCCAAGTTTATATTTCCACAATTTATTTTGAACGAGTCTTTTTCTTTCTCTTTTTGCTTATTATTCTATAAGTTAGTAATAATCATCTGTATTATCAGCATGCTGATCTTTACTTAGTATCAGACTAGAATTTATCTGTTATATCGTGAAAGGACAATTTAGGATAACAATGTTTATACAAATACTATCGTTGGCGATAAAGTAAAGATTATTTGTTATTGCATAATGACAGGCTTATTACATTGTTTGAAAACATCAGACTATTACGTAGCAGTGAATTCAACAGATCTAATTTCACCAAACCATCCAGCTATTCACTTGATTTGTAAAGTCCGTTAATTATGACGAACTTCATTAGACAATTAACTAATCAAAATTGTCGATCTCAACTTTGATATATTAATATTCTATTAAGGTTGTAAAAATGCGATTGAATTTACTCAGCATGTGATACACAATCAGAGCGCGGTGATAAGCGAGTCTGCCATGAGCCCAATACGAGTGGTCTGTCATTCCATCGTCTCTAATTTCAGATAATATCTTACGAATATGTTTATAGCAGTTTTTTATGACACTTTGTTGAGAGAAGAATTATTCTTAGTGCAACAATAAATAGGGGTAGAATTTCTCTCATTTTCTACATGTTCCGGTACGCTACGTTTCAATTTCTATGTTTCTGATATTCTAATATACTGATTATTCCAATTAATCGGAATAACTTGAAAGAAAGATTCAACAAAACAAAAGAACAAATGAATGATTAACCTATCGGACTCCTTGGTCACAGCCAATTCCAATGTCGGATAGAAGAATACGGCGGATGAAGACTCTATTAACTGTTGATCGATAATTTTTTTGTTGTTCTTTATAGAACTCGCCTAAGCCGTGAATAACCTTAACTTTCAACTGCAATAAAAGGGGAAGGTGTCCAGCTCACGAATCTTCGTCTAATAGGAAAACGAGAATTTGGGATTATCGTTAGCAAGTACGATTAAGTTACTAGTATGCTGAGAAACATTTACGTGGGCTGGTAAACTCTACTAACAGGCCCAGAAGCATTCTATTATAGTTTTCAAATAATAACGATAAAGGAATTGGCTTCAAAAAATATGCGTTTTCGCACTAAAGACAAATAATGTCATGTCAAAAAATCACAAATAGCAATACACAAGCGTGTGAGTGATTTACGTTTGAAAAATATTGAATAGCGAACGAGTATGGCATTCGGGTATACTGTTAGTGAAAGTAAAGGTAGACGGTTTGTAGTTGAGGACGATTGAAAAAACACTTTATTTAAAAAAGGATAGTAATAGTTCTATAAGTCTTTAATTTGCAAAAGCCTCGGGTAGTCGGAATATGTTTTTTATTATTTTCTCTGGACTTAGTACTTTCTCACCGAAAAACACTGAATATGGTGTATCTAATAAAACTCGCATTATTGCTTGCAAGTCTTATAAAATGGACAGGATAAAAGAATATTTGACAAATATTACCGCTATAAAAAAAAATAGTTAATACTTTTCGCTTTGTTTGAACTAATATGGAATGGAATAACATTTATTTTAGTTTGGGTACTCAAAGTGAGGAGGCGGCGCCATGTTTACTTTGTCTGGGTTTTGTTTATTTGGAATTCCAGAGGGGAATTTGCTTTGATTCTAACCAATCAAGCCGGATAGGCTGCTACACACTATCGCAATTGTGTGCGAGGTATTTACGAACAAATAAAGTTGCCTTGTTCGCTTCAGGAAATGTGGCGCGAGTCGTCTACAATTATTAATAGATTTTTTGTTTTTACCAAAACTCGTCTTCTTTCTTTAATAAGCAACAAGATTGTGTTGGTAGCATAATACACGCCGAAGATGATTGATGAATTTCAGTTATCAATAACAATAGATTTTAAGTGACTTGTCAGAAACATCTCGTTGCGTCGTGCAGTCTTACCATGATGCTCGACCAATAAATAACGTCTTGTTCGGACCATTCTGTCACACGCTATGTCATCAAAGGGGGTTCGCTTACTGCCGTCCTTTTGAATTGATGGATAGCAATCTATAGTCGGATTTTATTTAGTTTACAAGAAACAGTAAAGTGAATAATCGTTTAAGTAACAGGAATGATCACGGCCAGATTCAAATCGTCAGCAAAGTATGAGAGATAAGGATTGTCGCCAAACATCCCCCCAATCTCTACTAGACACTTTTAATCGACAAGATAGAGAAACTTGCTTGTGCCATTTCCATTTTACTTTGTAATAAGTCTATCGTTGTTCTTAGTGGACCAATGCCCAATATGTAATGATTTATTGGGTCTTGGCAAAGTATGACAAATTAAGGTGCTGCAATATACCGCTTTTGTGAAACGTATTCACTCTGATACACATAAGATATAATATCTAACCTGATACAGATTGCCTGAAACGGACGAATATCACTTTTTGCCCGGGCGATCATAAATACAGTTAAAATTTCACACATTCTTTTCTTTTTCACCTCTCCACCCTCCTTCCCTTTTCTCACACACACACACACACACATCTAACCCACCTCCACGTGTTTGCTTAAATCCGTGTCACAATAAAACAGACATTATAGATCGTTGTTTGGTAGCTCTTTCGTTTTAATTAGAGGAACTTTTGCAATCAGTTCCTGGGCTCTGCTAATTGTGCTAATAATCTCGTCTTCATAGAAAGTCAGAGCTCGTTTGCAGATTGAAAATTACTTGCAAACGCATTATATTGCATCATTTACCTACTGTGCTGGCACTATTATTATGAGCATACATAACAACGTCGCAACTTTGCGATAGCAATAGAAAGCAAACACCTTAAAGGGTTACTACATTCCTTTTTCCCCTACTACCCACACTACCTTACGCTCCCTGAATCATATCATCAAAAACACCTTAAAAGATGCAAAGATCAAAATTATTCACATTATTTATACTTTTTCTAATTTGTCTGACTGCATCCCCTGGCTTAGCCCAACAAATAAACGACATTAATACCTCGACGACATCCTCACCCACACCCAACTCCGCCGACTTTCCCGATCCTACTCTTGATGACAATGACACAGCTACAATTGCAACAATCGCAAATCCATCAGAAGAAACCCCCGACGTGAATGACGCGGAAGCGACTACCAGCACGGATACTTTCAGTACAGCAACAACGAGTCCTCCCAGTCCAACACCGCAAGCTCAATCAGGTACTGCAGCGGATCAACTTGTTTTCGATGAGAATAACCATTACATAGTGGTGATGAACCGCACCAACGGAACGGAATACAACAAACACTGGAAATGGTTGAAAAAGCTTTCCGACAGTGCAAAGGAACTGTCGCATTTGAGCAGCAACGTTAATAAAATCGGTGACTTTGCTTGGTATACCGGCGCTTTTGACAGAAAGGCATTGAATAATATAAATGCGAGTAATGTCGTGAATTATATCGTGCCAGATGTAACATTTACACCATACGACAAAATGCAGATTTCTCCGCCTAGTTGGGTAAGCATGAGAGTGAGATTGACGCGGGCATACAGGCATAAATTAGTAAATCATTGTTTACTCACACGATACCATATTCGCATAATCGTTAACACAACACGCAAATGCATTCTTTCTCTTACCTTAAAACAGGGCTTACAACGTATAGGTCAAAGAACACTCCCACTCGTCAATCATTACATATACCCAGATTCAGCCGGTGAAGGCGTGACAATCTACGTTCTTGATACCGGAGTCAACCTCGATCACGCCGATTTCGAGGGCCGCGCAACATTCGGTGCTTCGTTCGCTGGCAACCCCAACGACAAGACCGATCCTAATGGTCATGGAACATTTGTTGCTGGCGTTGCCGCAGGCAGAATATTTGGGGTGGCCAAGAAAGCACGTATTGTTTCGGTCAGAGCATTAGATGCCGACGGATCAGGCAAATTGAGTACTATATTGAAAGCGATTGATTGGATCGTAAAACGACAGAGCACATCTGACAACAACAAGAGCATTGTGAATTTATCGCTTGGAGCCGCTTTCAGTCAACCGACAAATGATGCGATACAAGAAGCTATCAAGTTTGGAATACATTTTTCCATTGCCGCTGGAAATGAGGGCAAAGATGCTTGTCAGTTCTCGCCTGCGTCTGTCAAGGGAGCGTTGGTGGTTGGTGCTACTAATTCCGATGACACCGTTGCGAAATATTCCAATATTGGAGATTGTGTAGATATGTGAGTTTTTGCGCGATTAGCGCTTTTGTGGGGGGTGGGGATTTTTAGGGTCCTGATGGGTATGATACTAATTGGTTGGATTTATTATAGATACGCACCAGGAACAAACATTGTTTCAGCATGGAAAGATGGAACAACTTCTACGCATGTCCGATCAGGGACATCAATGGCAAGTCCTCATGTGAGTACCAACCGAATGAGATTGGATTGTTATAAATTACACATAAGCATGCAGATCCCGTGTCTGATATATTTCTTTTGTTAGGTTGCCGGAGTGATGGCTCTGTTACTTAGTCAAGCAAATTACAGTCCACCAGAATTGATTGCAAAGATCACGGAAACTGCCACCAGACTCAATGGAACGTCTGCTCCCAAATTGTTGCTCTATGTGTATTCCAATGATACGAGTGTTGCTATAGTAGCCGACAAACCAACAGGAGCAGCGTCAAGGCTGTCTTCCTGTTGGGCTAGTAACATAATAATTGTAATTAGTGTATTCTTTCTGGTATTTCGTGGGGGGGTTGGACTATGAGACGGGGGTGATTCGCGGATTGTGTGTAATAATGTAGTTAATTTGATCGAACCAAAAAAAAAGGAACTTTCATTGTACAGTTCAATACAACGGGCATCGAAAGTGCAGCTTAATTTATTTGATGCATGCATTTGATCACGTGAAAGAGAGATATCTCATGTTACGTTTTACATTGAGAGTTTTTAAGACACTTCACTTGCACATTCTCTTGCACATTTACTTGCACATTCTCTTAAAAAGCTTTCGACCACCGGAAATAAATGAACCAACAGTTCGATAACAAGTAAAGATATTATAATTGTTGGTCACCAAAATAAACTCAATTGCAAGATCAGCATCCCATGTGATGCTTGAACAAGTAATACTAATTAATACCCGATGAGCAGTCGATCCGAAATCCCGTCAATCCACCCACAAAATTTCCTAAAGACACCGAGAATCATGTGATATTGTTCTTAACAGTTTCTCAAATGATTGAGAAATATCAAAAGATCCTTCTTTTTTTGTGGGTGAAAAAACACGAACTCCCAAAAACTACTTTCCATCAGGCCTGGGGGAAAGAATAACTTTTTAAGATTCTGCCATATTAGCACAATTTTTTTCTACTTACAAAGAACTTATCACCCACCCATAATGACCCAGGTGCAGAGCATATTGCCAGGGATGAGAGAGTCAGCATTCAATCACTTTGTGAAAAGTTTTGTAAGGTCTGCAGTTAGTGAAATCACTTTCTTCAAGAGCGACAACACCCCAAAAGACGGCGTCGTGTTTATGAGGACGGAAACTGGTGCGCTTTATGCATGTGAGACTATAGTCATACTTAGACCACAACACACCAGTAATAGTAAACAACACAACAGTAATATTAAACGAGGTATACTTTTAAAGGACGAGGATATCGAGGAGGACGAGGATGATAAAGACAGGTATGTACGTATTTCAAATCTGGTAAAAAAATTGCTAATAGTGATAATAATAAGGTTATTTCATTACAGAGAGGTTATCGTCTTTTTCAATTTTTTTTGGCATCTATTTCTGTCTATTGTCACCAACCTTCCATCATCACATGTTTGAATGTTGTATGATACTACACTTCCAATTTTCATCTTTCGCTTACACAAAAGCACACAAACGCAGTACGCATATCTTACTCTTGCTAACTATTTTTGTTCATGCAGCAGTGAAATCCATAGTACCAAATCAGTCAGTGATAGAGGATCAGTTGCCTCAGCAGAGACAGTCCCGAGCCCGAGAACATCTCCACCGCCCCGAAAACGTCCTCGTTATCAGAAACAAAGATTAGCATCAATTCGTGAATTATGTTCACATGGGATGCTCGAGAGAATACAATCACTGGGTACTATAGCTGCGCAGAGAAAAAGACAATTCACTTTCAAAGCAACTTTACCGACCGACGAACAGCTACGGGAAGCATACATGACATTCGTAATGAGTGATAACAGACCTAAGCAATACATAGAAGCTGCTAGATTACACGAGTTGGTGTTGAAAAGTTCTTTGACTGTTAGAAAACAGGCTAGCGTTCTCCGTATGGGTGTGGGCACGTGGAAGTCGTGTAAGAAGCAGGTGGCGAGAATGGCTGAAGTAGTAAAGTATTGCGGTGTTGATTTGGATGAGGATATCCCGCCCAAGACATTTTGGAGAGTAGCTCCAGTTAAGTTATATACGGTGATATTTGCCTATTTACGTAAATGTCTTCAGACTAGAACAGTGGCAAGCATAGATGATGAATTTGATACGGATAAGGCAGCAGAGAGTGGTGATGAGGAGGAGGAAGAGGAGGAAGAGGAGGAAAAGGAAGAAGAGGAAGAGGAGGAGAAAGAGGAAGGGGAGGAAGAGGAAGAGGAGGAGAAAGAGGAAGGGGAGGAAGAGGAAGAGGAAGGGGAGGAAGAGGAGGAAGGGGAAGAGGAAGGAGAGGTAGAGGAAGAGGAGGTAGAGGAGGAAGAGGTAGAGGAGGAAGAGGTAGAGGAAGAGGAAGGGGAGGTAGAGGAGGGAGAGGTAGAGGAGGGAGAGATAGAGGATGACGATGACGATGAAGGCGAAGGTGATTACGAGGCGAAGAAGAAAGAAGATACAGATGATGAAAAAGAAAATATGGATGAAGACAATAACGAAGATGAAGATGATGAGAGCAGAATTGGGGAAAGCGGTGACGATATCGTAAACGTAGCAAACAATTATAAGAGGAGAAACGGCAGAAGGGGGGGAAAAACTGGCAGAGTAAGAAAGAAAGGAAGGGCATTAATGCGCGATGTTGACAGCAATGATGACGGAAAAGATGAAGTGATCACAATAGAAGACGATTAAACGAAAAATGAGAGAGCGAACAAACATAGAAATGTCAACTGAGAATGAAAACATCAGAGGAGAACAGTTTTTTTATCGCTGCTCTTAGTTACAACGAAACATCTACATGCATCGTTTGTAATAAACAGAGTCGTAAGACGCCTGTCGTGTTAATAAATTTTGTGGATCTCCTGCTACAAAATCTTGGGTTTTCCAAGCAGTATGAGAATCGTCTTGTAAAATTATATTGGTGGTTTATAAATATGATGGAATAATATTCATCACGGTTACGAAACAACTGGTATCAAATATCTCTATTTGAAATGACTTTATGCGCAAGTAAATTATTAGGTAATCACGTGATGAGAAGATGCTTTATTGCTTGCTGGTGTGGGTAAAAGAAAGATGTAAGTCTCCTCATTCATATCTCTTTCTTTTATCGGCAGGAGTATCATTGGTAAAGATCATATACGTCTCACGCCTTTTTACTATGAGTCGCTCATTTTCGGAGGTTAGAAATTGATTATTATGAAATCAATTTTTTGTAAATACTGTAGCCAGTTTAAACTATGCCACAAATCAAGAAAGAATTAAGCGTAATTGTATAAAGAATTGGAAGTTACTGGTGTAAGCAACAACAAAACTAACTTGATGGATTTGTTGATTCTATTAATAGAAACTTTGAGAAGATGCTTATTTGTTGGCGTCTGTTTGATCATCTCCGATTGACATATAGTGTGAAGACTGAAGGTAAATATCTTACGTTGAAGAAGCCAGCTGCTTATGGGCAAAACAGGTACTTTCAAGATGGAATCATTTTTAATGTACGAGGAGGAAAAAAATAACTAGTAGAGTTAATGGCGATTAAGAACTTTTCGGCTTTAGATACGAAGTCAATTGACGTACGTAGAGGTAGACTAGAGTGTGTAGACAAGTCACGACCTCCACAAAAACTTGAAGAAATTCTATCTCATCAATATATGCAACCCAGTGCCTAAATAAAGACCTCGAAAACTCAATATATGCAACCCATTTATCTGCGTAAATAGTTACTGAATGTGGCTTGTGGCGCGGTAATAATGCGGCCGACCAATAGGATCAATTCTGGGTTAACAGAAATCATAATACAAACTTATTCACCATTGTAAATGCTGGGGAGTTCGCGATTAAAATCTACTCTGTCAGCCCAGGCATTTATCACTTTCTGTCCTCTTCTCCTACCCGTTTGAAATATGACTTCTTTGCCTTACGAGCTTCTTGCGATGATTTTTGACGAACATGCAAACGACCTCTTTACGCTCCATTCCTGCATTCTAGTTAACCGAACTTGGTGTATGGCGGCTCTTCAACTCTTGTGGGCCAAACCTTTCACCTTGTTGTATTCAAGTCCAAGCAGAAGAAATAACCGATTAGTAGAAAACCTTCTGGCCACATTTACTGAATGTTTTACTGATGTCGATGCCCTCAATAATGCATCACGGTTGCGCAAGAAATATAGTAAAAAGTTTCCGCTTGATTATAGCCTTTACTTGAAGGAGATTCATCCTGGGGATATTTACAGTTTGGCAGCACAAACCAACAAGCATTATTGTGTGCGAAAAATTGCTCGTTTAGCAATTAAATATTGCCCGAATGTCGAAACTCTTTCTCTCACATCACCAAATATTCTTATAGATCAGAATCAATTTCTGGTTTCTATTAAAAGCCTCCCCCGTTTGCAAAACTTAAGTTTGTATTTTCATTCAGCCGGTAACATATTCAACATACTCTCTAAGGTGGCACATAATTTGAAGTCAATTTCAGTCAAAGTTTGCTGGGATGGAGTCTATACCTTTGAAAAAAGGTCGCCTTATGGGTTGCAAAAACTCATACAGTCTCAACATCAGCTAAAGACATTCACTATACAGACTGTGACAGTCAAGATGAGGCCACTATTTAAATTGTTGGAATCACAGTCAAATTCTCTTAAATCGCTTGTTTTTGAATATGTTTACTTCGACTATGATGATTCAAATATTGAACCAATTAAGTTTCATCAATTGACAAGCATCTACATAAAAGACTGTACAATATTAAAGGGTGGACTGGAATCAATCTTTGAGACGGACTTACCAAAGTTACAAAAACTTGAGTTTGAAAATACTGAATGGAGATGCAAAGATGACTGGATTTTGTTGCAAAATAAGTACAGAAACCAAATAATTGATTCTGATAATATATTTTGATTAATGACACCATGTATGTTACTTGTGAGAGCTGTATTTTTTATTAAATATACATATATCCATGCAGACATTCTTATCGGATAATGGTGTGACAGACAAAATGCGTTGATTTTGTACCGTTTTTTTATATACAATTTTTTTTCTAACAGCAATAAAAACAAATTTCGTTCGTGTATATCGCGAGCGTACAATATTACATTACTTCGGTTTGTTCCGCTACCGTGATAGTCTCTTCGACACGTGTTTTCGTTTTAAAATACTAGCCTTAGCATATTCTTGTGCAGCTTGATAATAAAGCCAAACGCTATCTCAATGGGTTTGAATGTGAAGTCTGCTGATCCGATGGTACCTTTCACCGCTGACAACTTGCGAGTTTCGACGATTGCTTTACCCCTTTAATTGACTTGCAGATTTCTTCTCCTTGACAGCACTTCGTTTCAACGATCAAATGCAATATTTGCTGCGGCAAGTCATCACCTAGTCCACTACGGATTCTTCAATATTAGATGTGATTGGCGTTAGATGATCTATGAAAATGAGTATTTTTCAATGTACAGAGGGTACTCAAAAGTTTACGGACACTTTCTTATTGTGTGAATTGCTCGATTTTTTATTATAATAACAATGTCTTTCACAATAATAAAAACCGCTTCTACACTATTGGATTAAATCTTTTGTTAGTGTTTAATATTTTGTTGGACCCCATTTGCATCTATTGCTATCGTGGCATGTTTTCGATAAGTTTTTTAATTTTATCTTGAGAGATCGACCTCCAAGTTTTTTTCACAAGTCGTTCAAGCTCATTAAGATTTTTAGGTTTCTTTTTTTCATTTTTAAGGCTTCGCTTAATCTCATCCCACAGATTTTCTCTTGGGTTAAGGTCAGGACATTGGGCTGGCCAAGAGAGCGTTCGGAGAGATTTTCTTCTCGAAATTCAATGGCAATAAATGGCAACACGATTCTTTTTATTAGGTCGTCCAGAACGTGGCTTTGCTTCAATTGATCCAGTAACATTGTATCGGTTTATACAAGCTGAAACTGCTGAATGACCACATCCCACGATTCTAGCAATTTGTCTGCTGGAATGTCCAATTTTATGACCATAAAGAATACTGTTTTTTTGGAAGTCAGTGAGTTGTTTTCTTTTATCCATGATTCTCTTTAAAACAAAAGATAGACGCGACAGATTGTTTTGTTTATTTATTTATATTTACAACATGACAATTTAGGCAAACAGTTAACATAACAAACATCCTAAATAAGTAGTGTAGAAACATTTTTTATTATTGTAAAAGACACTGTTATTACAATAAAAACTGAGCAATTTATGCAATAAGAAAGTGTCCGTAAACTTTTGAATACACTCTTAGATCGCTGGTTAAGTGTTAAATCGCTTTCTCGATCAGCGGTTAACAAGTCTGATCTTGCATCGAACTTATCGGAACTTAGGCATCAGGATTTCTAATTAATTGTGTTTAACGCGTTACTACTATTATTATAAACTTTCCCGTCACAGATTTTCGTAACAATCCCTAGCGAATCATAGTCATTGTTTGACTCAGACGTTAAATAGAATCCAGAGAAGGTGTATACAGTTGGATTAAGTCCGTGAGTATTGATAAATCCTATTAGGTCACCAATTGACTAGATAGTAGGAACGAGCCTAAGAGTTCCGCTGGAAGACGACTAAATTCCACGAACGCTCTCCAATCCAACATGAGCAACTGTTTTTTTGAGGTGATAAATTTAGTAGTTGTGAAACTCATAAGTCCCGGTCAAAAAATAGCAGGTGATTTGACACAATGATTTTCTGAGGTAATGATTTTCATGCATTGATGCAACGACGAGGCAAGACAATAATTTTCATCAATGATAATGATTTTTGAGACAGCGTTTGTCTGAGCCAATTCACCAAATCTTGCCTAAACAAAATAGTATCCTCATTACACCTTTTTGTAAACTGCATGACGTATATCATACAGTCACGTCCCTCTTGGGTATAATTCAACTTCCTTTTGTATCTCAGGATAATTTCCTTCGGTTGCGTTATTCTTATCCTCAAAATTCCAAGAAACCTATTACCCATATTTTTATGACCATGTTCCTTCTGGCCTACATGTCTGGACTCTGCCTTATACGGGATTTTTTCAAATGTTCATTCACCAAAGCTTTGCTAATTTATTGCCCGTTTGTAACTTAGGATCTCGACACAAATTTGAGGGACGATGTTTAGCACTTTATTAGTTTGTTTCTTCTGATAAGTGCATTACTACATGATAAATAATGACTGTCGAGGTAGTAGAATTGTCGGTGAAACATGAATGAATATAAATTACGGGTGCGGATAACCAGGAAGTGTTGCACAACTCATAATATTTCTGCCATGACAATGAGTTATCTGCAAGTAATTAGTTAAGAGGCATACTGTATATGCAGCTTGAAAGAGAATATTGTACACGTTTGGACCCTGCCAGTCAGGTGTGTCACCAAAATGTCGTGACTGAAAAGATTTGTCTGTATCATACACTTAAAACAGTAGTCCCGATAATTCAGGATGACATGATAATCGAAATATTGTAAATATTTGTCGGCATTATTTCACTCAATTCAGGGATTTATGTACGACATATTTAATGAGACCCAGGGAAAATTACAGACAGGAAAACTCACAACTCTTTTGCATAAATCATAATTTTATGATTCCTCACGGTTATGGCTTTTGACATAAATCATAAATCTTATGGTTCCTCGCCATTGCTTACACCATTGTTGGTATTGCAACATTGTATAACAACA